GGAACAAAATGAACCCTCACGGAATGCTGAGCCCTCCCATCAGCTGCAGCGGAGGCACCTCTGTGTGCACTGTGGGAGCTGATGGCCAGGACCCCCAGTGGGCTGGGATCAGTGCAGGTGTTGTCAGCAAGGGAATGCCTGGCTTCTAAAACTCACCAGCTGAGTCTCAGAGGCTTCTTTGCCGAAGGCTTTTGAGGCAGCCAAGTGGCCCCAGGCAGGGACTCCCTGCGCCTGCCTCCTGGTGTGCCCAGGGATCTCTGGGCCTTCACGCCGGCACCGAGATGTTCTCGGGAAGGCCCTCAGATCCCCGGAGCAGTCTGGGACACGGGTAAGATCCCCCTGCATTTCGGGGGCAGATTGGGCCCCCCTGGAGGGACAGTGCTGTTGCTGCCCGCCGGGCTGGGACACTCGGAAGACTCCGGCGCGCACCGAAATTGTTCTTCGGGGAGCTCCTCCGAGTGCCCCAAGCTGGGGAGCTGAAAGCAAGGTCCCTGGAATAGATTCAGGCATTCCTGAGAGTATCAGAGGTGTAGCTGTGTGTCCTGGCCATGGAGCTCCGGAATGGACTGTAACTGGGTTATAAAAGTGGTGCTCCAACAACAAAAGGAGTGTGGGATTGGATTTAAGGAATGAGTGGTGATGGTACCGTTAGCTGTTTTCTCTTGACTGGAATTGTGAGAGCTGCAGGAGTGCAAGGTGTGGGTTCCAGTCCCCACCGTTTGGTTTGCACGTGTCCTGGTCAGAAAGAGGTCCAGCTTCCTCAGGCCTTAACACACCAGAGGGAGAATTAAAGGGATGGCACTGGGAAGGTGATTGGTGTGACAGGGGTTAAACTGGGAAAACACTGGGTATTTCCTCAGTTGGTTTATTTGCAGGCTCCCCTAAGCCTTTGCTGGGAAGAGATGGGTTGGATAAGTTGAGGCAGAAATGAACTTGGAAAATGGGGAGATTGTGGTTGCTGACACTAACTGTGGGAGAGCAGCAGCTCTTCTTGTGCAGGAAGTAACTCCCGTCAGCAGCACCATCCCGACTGAAGCGGCAGATGGAGTTATTCCTGTGGTGAGGGCCAGTGGAATTCCAGGAAAATGGAAGAGGGCAGAGCCTGTAGGTATTAGCCCTAAGCTGGGATCTGTGTGGGTAAGGCAACCCCAGTATCCTTGAAAATCAGCCTGCCAGCAATAGATTTAAAAGATGCCTTTTGCTGCATCCCCCAGAGCAAGGCAAGCCAAGAAACCTTTGCTTTTGAAGGAGAAAATCTGGAAATTGGGAAGGAAGAAGCGAAGCCACCTGAGCCCTCCCTGAGCCACAGGCAGTCCATGAAGTGCCTTCCTGGGAACGGTAGGACGGTGAGGACTCCGGATTGCTCCCTACACGTGTGGTAAGACTGATGCAAACTTTTGAAAGCCCCTGTATGAGTTTCCTGCCTTGAATAGATGGTGCAAGGGCAGCCTTGAGGCAGCTCAGGCATTCCCTGAGGAGAGCTCTGGCTCTGCCACATCTCTCTGAACCGTTTGAAGCCCCTTTGTTAGACTCAGACACGCAAATTTACAAAACAGAGCTGCTGTTGATTTTTTGTTACTAGCCCAAGGACACGGCTGTCAAGATTTTGAAGGCATGTGCTGCATTAATTTAAGTGACCATTCTGAGTCTGTTCATGCTAACATCCAAAAACTGAAAGCCCTTACCCAACAGTTACATGTTAATACTGAATGGACCCCCTTTGGCAAATGGAAATAGGGATGGCCCTGGTTACAAAAAGTGGTAATGGGCTTGTTAGCAGTGGTGTGTATCTTGTGCATAATTCCCTGTGCGCTAACATATGTACATGGCCTGATAAACACCAAGATAAATGCATTACAATCTCGAGTGATTCGTTATCACCCTCTTGCTGCCATTGATCACACGGTGGCATGTAAGGGGGATACTTTGGATTTAGATGATCAATGGAGCATAGAGGGGTGAGAAAGAGATTGTATTAGCATGTGAAACCAGCCAGAGTATTGTACAATGGAACTTCATTGCACAAGTTGACTGGAAGGCCCACTGTACTTTTAGCAAAGTCAACTGGATGTCTCTTATTATCATAGCTGAGTTCCTCCTTAGCTTGGTTACATTCTGCAAGATAGGAACAAATCCCCTTGGAACACAATGGTAGAGGTCATACCTAGGGATGAGGAAGGTGATGGAGAGGAAGATGATGTGGGCAGGGGTGGTTGTTCCCTTGCCCTCCAGTGGGGCACGCCCAGACTGTTGCCATGAGGTGATGAACGGGCGCTGTTTGGCTGCCTCTCAAGCACCACCTTATACTGCATCCTGGCCCTACGCAGTGTAATGTAGAGCTGATGGAATGGGGTGTCAGCACTGCTGGGTAGAGCGATGCTCATCCTTCCATCCACACTGTGTTGCTGGCGGGGACGCCCGCTAAGCATGAGTGCCGCCCAGCCCTGCAGAGCCTGGGAGCCCTGGCCTGTCTGTGCAGGGGAGCACAGTTTAGTGAGAGGAATCAACCCAGAAAGCAAACACTTCACATCCTTTTTCTTGTATCCCTTTAATTCCCTTTTTACTAGCTAATATTGTATCCCTTTAATTCCCTTGCACTAACTAATACTGTAATAGAGGCTGTTTGTAGTATTGTATGAATGCCAATAGATAAAGTAGGGTTTTTTGTATTCTTTTTAACTTTTGGTTCTCTTTGCTAATAGTTGTTTTTTTAACTCTCTCTGCAATAAAAGATATTTTGTAGTGTTTGAATGACTGTTGTGCTTGTCTTTATTCTGGACATGTATCCTTGCCAGCCTGGTCCAAGCAGGGAGAACTGCAGCCCCCAGCAGCTTGGTCAGTGCTGGATGGACTCGGGGCTGGGAAAGGTCACTCAGTGTGAGGGCAGGTGAGAGCCCAGGGTGGCCCTGGCAGCCCTGGGGCTGGGAACAAGTCCAGTGGGCAAAGGAATGGACCCTGGAGAGCTGGGCAAACAGCTGGAGGAGTTTCAAGGAGAAGCAGGAAACTGGACAAGTTGCAGCAGCTCCTTCTGTGTGTGTGTGTGTAACCAGGTCTAGTGCAGCCACGAGTGAGGTGGGAAATGAACCTCAGGAGGCTGGGAATGAGTCCAACAAACTGGTTACACTGGGATGGACTCTTCCCAAGTGTCTGAAAAGCTTTGCTTTAGTTTGGCTTTATAAATTGAAAACTGAAGTGATTGTTGAGGTGTTGGCCCTTGCTGTCCTGTGTCTCTGGGGAGGTGTTGAGTCAGTACCTTTACTGGAGCTGCTGTTGGATGTCCTGAATTGACCTGTAAGGTCCTGGCTTTCTTCCCTGCTTCTCCCAGCTTGTCCATGCAGGAGATGGAATTCCAGTGCTACAGTATAGGTAGCTCGTGGTGCTCCCAAAAGGAGCCTTTCTGCCTTCAGGACAAGTTGTGGTGCCACTGGAGCTGTTGGGAGAAGCGGAGAGTTGGCAGTGACAGGCCTGGAATGCTGTTGCTGTGGCACAGAGGCTGCTCCCTGGCAGGTTCTTGGGTTGGATTCCTTGGCTGTCACTTGTCCTCAGTTGTGTAGGGAACAAAACATGGAATGGGAAAGCAAAGCAGGGGAGGTTCTGATTTCAGAGAGAATCACTGTATTTTCTCTTTCTGCAGGGACACTGAGCTGGTCCAACTGTGGCAAGAAGAACAAGTGGGCTGTGAAGGTTTGGGGCAGTCTGGAAGGTTCCTCGTGCCCAAAGGATCCTGGCAAGTGCAGCCCTGGAAGAGTACGGAATAATGAAAAGTGCCCCAGTTCTCCTGAAGCTCAGCTTTGTAAGACATGTCTCAAGACCAGACAAAATCCTCCAGCAGTGAGCTTGGCAGAAAAGGCCCTGTGAAGCAAAGCAGCATGAAACCCCAGAGCTGCTTGTGGATGGCAGGTGAAACTTGGAGCCCTCCTATGTAAAGGTGTCTGATCCCCACAATCCTCTTTGTGTCCTCTGCCAGCAGCTGCCCTTGGTCATTCTTGTGGTTTGCAGGTTGTAAAAAGAGCCTTGAGATTTGCTTCTGGGAACAGGGATCCGTTTCCTGATGGGAGTCCTTGAAATAGAAGTGAGTCTGTGGGAAATGGGGGCTACAGGAGTGCTGGGGCTGGAGAGTCCTAGGGAGAGCAATTCCTTTGGGGTAGTTCAGAGATGTGCTGAACACACAGGTAATGCTTCAGTGCTCTCCACTGCCATCCTTCTCTACGAGCCTCCTGTTCCACTGCTCCTTGGGTTTCCTGGGGCAGCATTTCCTCCTGCCCCTGTACCTGAAACACAGCCCTGTGACAACGGCTCCTTCCTCTGTCCCTGGGTCTCCCCCAGGTACAAACACGACAGTATTTAATTAACAACACTGCCCAGATCAAACACACCCTGCGAGAGATGGCAAAAGTGCTTCTATCCCCCTATGCAGATTGATTTGTACGTGCTGGTGGTTTCAGAGTGACAGCTGGGGGCATTCCAGCAGCTGGGCACACCCGTCTCCTGGAGCTCACCCTGCTGGGCATGCCTTAGGTACCAGCTGCAGCAATGCCTGACAGCACTCAGCCCACGCCTGTATTCCAGGAAAAAATCCTGCTACATACAAGCCTTTGCCAGAGCACAACCAGACTCCCTTTTCCTTCCACAAACACTTCCTCCTTAATAAAGCCTGAAGGAAACTACATGCTAAAATACAGCACTTGGCAGAAAAACTGTGGGATTCTTTCCAAATCTAAGCTCTAGGAGCAGAGGAAGGCAGGAAAAGGAACTCAGGGATGAAACCAGGGCCAGTGAGGATAGAAAATACACACCCACCACCTGTTCAAAGGTGACCCCAATCCACCATCAGGTCTCTTTACCTCATACCCACTGGCTGGGCCAGCGAGGCACAGGCTGGATCTCCAGGAACCAGGGGCCGGTAAGGAACATCCCAACACACCTTCTGTAGGGATCCAGCTTGCCCATCCCGTGGGAGAGGAAATCCATTGGTTTTCCTTCACACTGGCTGAATTAAAAAGCTGTGGAGTGGGCGGAGTAATGAATCCATGCTGGATGCACAGCCCGGTGGGATAAAGGGAAAACAAGTCACCAGCTGAGAAGGATGCTCAGACAGACCAGAGCAGCAGTGCTTGACGGAGAGAAGGTCACTTGCCAAGCGAGACCCAGACAGTAGAGCAGAGCCGGAGGGTGAGTAACGCCCGTCACCGCTCCCATCGGCGTGGCAGGGCCAGGCAGGACTCTGCTCCCGGGTCTGAGGGGGAGCTCTGCTACCCTTTGACTTCAGAGGCATTTCTAGTCCTGGCAGCTCCAGTCCAGGGCTGCTGCCAGTACAGCCTTGGCACGGCACAACCTCTGAAGTCCCCGGCTGAGGTGATGGGGCTGCAGTCCAAGGCCTGCCCCACAGGCAAATCCTGAATGCTCGAGAGTTTATGGGGAAGAGATGGGCTGAAAAATCTGCAACACGATTGACTTGTTCAGTCTTTCTTCTACTGAAAGGAACTGGACTTTGAACACAAGCCCGGTAAATAACTGTGATTACATCAAATGTGTTCATCCTTCATCTGTCTCATCCTTCCTCGTCGCTGTCTGCTGGCAGAATCACCTCAGCAGTCTCCAATGTTTTACTATTTACAGGCCAGTTTGCTTTTCAGCTGCTCTGACCTTGTTGGAAAGGAAGCATTGGTGGTTTGCTCACTGGTGCCTCTGCAGTGCTCTCAGCATGTGGAGACTGTAGAGAACCTTAAATTGGGTGTAACCCTGCAGAGCTATTGCCAAAATATTACTGCTAATGTTTCTCAGCTCGTGTTTTGAACATTTTTTGGATGCATAAACAATGTTGTCCTTTAACAGATGAGGCTGTAGCACAGAAAGGGTTTGTGCTCACCCACCTCAGCACACAGAGGGGTAATAGCAGGGGGGTTTTACCATCTGTAGTAGCTTTACTACAGACCAGCAAAGAGCCAGCCGTGATTCTCAAAGAGCCACAGCAAATGAAAGCCAATCACAACCCCTGACTACCTTCAAATTGGACACCTCAGCTAATCAAAATATCTCTTAATCATATAAAATTTCTTAGCAGATACTAAGAATAATAGCAAAAGTTAAGTTTTATTTAAAGCTGATGTAAAAAGAATTTTCCTGATAGAGATCTGAAAATGATAAACATGACAAAAATGATGTATTGCAGAATGAATTACCACAGCCTGAAAGAGCAGCCAGTGAAAACAGTCTGCATGTAGCTGAGCTTTTTGGAGAAATAAAGGTGTTTTGTGAGCAGGCAGGTTCAGCAGTGAAGTTCAGCACTGGTAGACTACCCCCTGTTTGTTTATGAGGATTATATAGTTAGTGTTCTCTAAATAAATCACTGGCTTTGCTCCCACCTTGTGTGCTAGAAAATAAATTAGAAATAACAGAAATAAGAGAAATAAATAACAATCACTGGATCTCCAGCCTGAAACCTGAGCACAAAGCAGCCACACCAAAGTCTGAGACCTGTTCCTGGTCCAGAGCCAGGGGAGGTAATGTACCACTTTTACAAGTCTTTGCAGGGGTGGCACAGCACTCTGGCTGTGTCTGGGCACTCCATCAGCAGAACACTGTGTATTATGGGCTGTACTGTCTCCCACAAGGCAGGGCTTTACCTGGGGCCTGTTACCGAGCCTGTCAGTCTCTAAATTGATTTATTCCATGCTCAACAAACACCCCTCAGGGCCGTGGCCTGGGTTTCCAGCAAAGACAGTCCTAGAACTGGAGGATGCAAACACTGATAGCTTTTTGACAAAGTCCCTTGACTACCTGAAGTTGAGCTGAGAAAACCCCCATAACCTGTTCTCCCAGCAAGGCTAAATCTCAGCCTGACACCCCTTGATAGGTGGTTTGATGTCTGCTCCACCTGGCAAACCCAAAACTCTCCCACTGGCTTTTCTTCCAGCCTTTGTGCCTTCCAACAAACCCTTCTGATACTCGGCTACACAACACAGACATCTTCAGACTGGTCATTTGGTGTCAATTACACTGAAGCCAAAGACACAGGTTTATGTGCCAGAGTATCAGCTTCTTGGCCACCAGTGATGGTGACAACCTCAGCAAATCCTTTTTCCCCACTCACAATAAGTGATGGCTGCTCCAAACGCCTCTGTCTCAGTCTAATAACATCAGCAGCTACTTCTTTACTTCCAATCCTCTCCAGTCTTTCTTTCCTGGCAAGAATCAGCCTTGCCAGACTAGCATGTTTGCTGTTCCTCTCCCACTGACCTCTTCCCTTGGCAGGAGTTTCCTCCTCACACAGAGCCATTTCCCTTTGCTCTCTGAGCTCTTTCCCCAGGGTGCTCCTCTGGGAGGGGGTCACTGGAGATAACCCACAGCAGAGATAGTGGAATGCATCACTGCAGCAAAGGAGGCCAACGTCTTATCTGCACAACTTATCTCAAAAAATGGCTTTGGAAGGGATGAACCACCGTCCAGTGTAACAGCACTTTGGCAAACAGCTCTTTTATAATGATTTGCCCTATGAAAAGGTTGGTTATTGAGTTGGTTTTCCATTTTTTTCTCACAGCACACCAGGACAACTTCAACTCAGAAACCAGAATTTAGGTCCATGCTTGCTGAAACCACGGACAGGAATTTTTTGTAAATATATTTGAGATTTCACTCTTTTGGTTTGATTTTTCTGAGGAGAGCAGAACACATAGAGAGCATCAAAAAGCTCTGCTGCTTAGCAAGCACACCTGCAGTTACAGGTTTGACCTCAGTTCTGAACTGCTGGAGTGAAATTCTAGTTTTTTCAGTACTGTGTCAAGCATGGAAAGAATATGCACTTTTAATATTTATAAGACTGTCAGCAGAAATTAGGTTATATTATTTATAAATATATATATATATAAAGTGAGAGTGAATGTTTTCACACAGAGATGGGAAATCTTCCTACAGGTGCCTGACCAAAAGCAGTGCATGCAAGACATGCCATGTATTTGGTTTCATTTTTTATTAGTTTTTAGAGAATTTCACCTGGAGTATCAAGTCCAATTTAGTCCCTGTTCCAAGCTGTAGATCCCCTTTGAGAGACTCTGAAGTGAAAAATAACCATTGCTGCCTGAATTGTCCCAGGCTCTGTTCTGTTGCCAGATGTTCTCAGAAGACATCGATATAGACTTTTTTAGATTAAATCCAATGTATTGCAACAACAAACCAATCAAATATTATAAAAGCTGTCATTTCTGCTGCCAGTAGCAGCCAGTTATTCAGTTGCTTTTCTACTCCAGTTTTCCATAGATGCATTTTGTAAGTAAAGAAAACCTTTGTTTGCATTCACCTTTTATGCAGTGGTTGTTTATTTTTAAGCTGGTTTGGTTCTATTTTAAATACATTTCCTTTAATGATGAGCAACAGGACTTGTAAATCAGAACATCTGCAATGTGCCAGACAGTCTTGTGCAAGAGGAATCGCTCCAGCTGAGTGTTATGTGCAATGCTCTTTAATATCATGCCAGACACAGTGAGCACATAAATGTAAAAGGGATGGAAGTAACATCATCTCCCTGAAATCATCACCAAGGGCCCATAATTTCTGAAGCTCACATATGAATCACAAGCAAACTACTGTTCTGGCAGAAGCCAAAGGTCCCAGAGGGGGAACATGCCTGCTGCTCACAGAGGGAAAAAGAAAGGAAAAAGCAAGATGGAGCAAACCCTGCAGATTTATCATGTTCTTTGTTGTCCAAGTGACAGCTCATAGATTAACTGAGACAGTTAAGGGTGAGAGGATTAAATTAAACTGCTTTCATTAACAAATACAAGGTTGGACTGGACTTAAAAGAACATGACCATAATATTATTTATGGTTAGGCCAATACAAATATTTCCTGTCATTCAACAGTTTTAAAGAGGAACTAATGGCAAATATTTACACTTTCTCACTCTTCACTATTTAGTGATGTGATTTTGCTGTTTTTAAATCATCTTGTATTAACCTAAACTGATGTTTCAGGGAGATATTTTTTCATAGATATCATCTTTGTCATTAAGATACAAGTTTAAATTTTAGCTTTGGTTTCAAAACTGGATTGAGAGACAGCCTGGTACTGTGATTAAGATACTCTAACAGCAGCAATAATAATCTACATTCCTCCTGAGACTAAAAAAAACAAACCAAAGCAACAAACCACTGGCTGGGAAGCTGTGGAGCAGCAGGAATGAGTATTTTTCAATGACACAGAAAGCTGCAGGTGCTACACACTTTATCTTCTGTGACTACTGTGTAGTCATACTCTTATTCTCATCAAAACTTGCTTAAATTTCCCAATTAGCAAGAGAAGGCAGTAAGTGAAGCAGAGGGTTCACAGAAGTGGAAGGCAGAATTTCAGAGGGGGACTGAGGAGTTCTCCCTCCCGCCAGGTACCCCAAAGCACTGAGGAAGGTGCGAGTGCCCCGCAGAAGAAGGGCTCAAGTAAAACACTGGGGCCATTGGTGACTGTGCTGCAGCACCAGGAAATGCCTGGTGTCACCTCTCCACGGAATTATGTCATGGCAAAGTTCTGCTGCCTGCCCAAATCAGACTCTTCAACAGATGGCTGCGATACCCGACTGGGAACACGGAAATAAATCAGACCCACGTACGGTGAAGTAACGTCTCCAGAACGACTGTCCTGCTCTGCTGCCCCACAGGAACAGTAACTGCCTGCCCAAACCACAGCAGCTCAGTGCCACAGCCTCCACAGAACTGCTCTGCCCCACAGGAACAGTAACTCCCTGCCCAAACCACAGCAGCTCAGTGCCACAGCCTCCACAGAACTGTTCTCCCCAGTGACTGAGCAGAGCCAGGAGGGAACTCCTGCCTCACCAGGATCCTGATCCCACCCTGTTCTAAACTGCATCCAACTCCATCTTAAAGCCCATTTGGTCAGAAAGCTGTTTCAAAACCTCAGTGATACAATGCTGAAGAACCTTATTCTAGCATAATCCTTAGAACTATTTAACTTTTGTCTGCTGTTGCCAAAGGCTTTATTAAACTAGAAGTTTAAATGAATTCTCTCCCCAGATCGATGCCTGGAAGTATTTACACACAGAAATCAAAGCCTTCCTTTGCTAGAATTAACAAACTAAACCTCTCTATGCTTTCCTCTTGCATATTTCCATTACTTTATTTATTATTGCAGCCTCTCATTTCATCTCTCTTAGTGTCAGTACCCTCGGTGCCTTCAGCACAGGCAGCCAGCAACACTCACAGTATTCCCCATCACACCAGGGGGCTCAGTTAATATTTTTAGACTACTTCCTCTACTTTCACTGAATCCAGGCCCTGAATTTCTGAACTGTGCTGGTCTAAATGTCACCAGAGAAATTTCAGCAGCATGTCCCAGTAATGGTGAAGTTTTATCTGGCCACACAGTTGACTTCAGTGAGTAAGCTGAGCCCCCAGGAGCAGAAGAGCAGGGCGTTACCATGAGGTAACACAGAGTCATCAGCCCCAGCCAGAGCCCTGGAACAGAATGTGATGAGTATAACATCGACCTGCAGACGGTGCCAAACTCTGCAATCTTTGCACATTCCACAGCCATCTCCCCTGGCCCCCTAGGATTCCCAAAGACAAAAACACACAAGCCTATCTGCTGGCAGGGAGAGCCATTCCCGCTCAATCCATGACTGAGTATTCCAGGCAGTCCCTGCTCCTACAGTTTGGTGACTGGTACTGACGCCAAATTCTGCTTCTCTGCCGTCCTGTGTGTCTGCAGCCCAGCCCATTCCCATCAGCACTGGCTAAACAAACCACTACATCATCTCCACCAACACTGAGGGATTCATCTGTGCTCCCAGAGCCTCTCGATCTGTGCTTTCAGCCTCCAGCACCGCCTTGACCTTCACTGCTGCAGGTCCAACCTCCCTCCCGCTCAGCCTCTCCTTAACGGGGCACTGAAAGGGCACCTCAACCGGCCCAGTCTGTCCCTGGATCTGATAATGCAGCTGGGTAAAACACAAGGCAACCAGCACCACCATCACCACGTGGGGGGGCAAACGGAGGGCAAACAAAAGGGCTCATCCCATACCCACACCACCTAAACCCAGAGAGTCAGGTCCCAGTGCCCATCCCATACCCACACCACCTAAACCCAGAGAGTCAGGTCCCAGTGCCCATCCCATACCCACACCACCTAAACCCAGAGAGTCAGGTCCCAGTAACAGGCTGTCCTTCCTGTTCCCTCATCAAAACTACCACCAAAGGATCTCAATAAGCTTGCAGGACAATATTCAGTATCTGGTTATATTCTGAAGCTCCTGGGAATTTAAAAGCATTGCAAAGGTAAAATTTATTACAGACAGAGAGAAAAAAATGCTTGAATGTGTTGTGGTTTTTCAGTAAAAGATAATAGGCTGGAATACATGACAACAACCCCCATTATTTTAGGTATCTATTTTATGCATGGAAATAACTAGTTCAGGAAATTTTCCTACTTGTCGCTTAGGATCATTTAGTAATCACTTGTTGCAAGGTCCTAAATGTATCATCACATTTACAAAGCACTGCAAAGAACTGCGTTTCCCTGTTTGTTCCTCACTCTGCAAATTAGGCACTATATTTACACAATGTATTTCTAGGAATAAGCATTCAAGCTTCATCAGAGGTTGAATAATGTGCAAATTTGTTCTGTCTTCCTTACGGAAAGTGACATAAACTTGGAAAAATATCCTATAGAATACTCTGAGTTTTTCAGAAATATAACCCTTTAACCTGTTCTATTCTCACAACTCCAGTATTTGGATACAAAAATCAGTGTCATGCATTAAGAGTAAGCATCAAGTGGATTTGGAATTTAAATATTTATGTCTTAAACACTTTGCTTGTAAAACTAATTTTAATCAAACCACAATAACAATTTTATCTTTCTAGACCTAATGGAGCTAAACAAAATTCATAGAAACAGATAAGAGTATGCAGTACATGAACCCAGCTGAAAAGGGCACAAACTCCTGCCCCAAATGTGAGGAGCAGCACCTTATCTCTGTTTATAGTTTACAGCTTGCTAGTTTAAACACATCTTAGAATTCCCCATGAGAACAGGTTCATTTAGTTTAAATGCTCTGCCTTCACAGGAACTCTTTCTTTATCTGCTAACACAAGGTGCATTTTTGGGGGCGTTCTGAAATCACTCTCCTAGAATCTGACAGACTGTCTGCAGTCCCATTGCTTCAGCTTCTCCATCCTTACTCCTTTCCTAATAACTCTCCCTATTAGGAGATGTCAGCTCCAAGGATTCTGAAGAGCATTTTGCAAGTGTGGAGTTCATATCACACATCAAACTACTTTAGTGTAAAAGTTAAGATAAACATTCAGAAGGAGTTGCTGTTCTCCTAAAAAGACTTGTGAGTTTGTAGCACACCCTTAACTGGAATACATACTCTGTTCTTAGGTACTTGCTGTGCCTCCTTTCGGCACACTTAAAAGCAGAATATAGGAAAAAATGAATTAAAACACCAAGAGATGTGAATTTCCATTGAGCTTGGCATGAAAGGCTGAGCAAGCTGCTTCCTTTTCCAACTCATTTGCCTTTCAGCGTGTTCAGAAGAACCAAGAACTGGTGATCAGGTCACCAAGAAATGACCTTTGGAGCATCTTTCTTTGGGCTGATTGTCCTCCTGAGGCCTCCTGAGGCCCCCGAGAGTTCTCACTGTTACTTCCCATCACGATGTCGTCCCCAAGCTCCCACAGGAGTTGTGTTTGGCATCTGTTCCACTGAGCTTTCCCCTAAAATGTCTGTCCCTCCTGTTCCTCCCTCGTGTCCTGCACTGACAGCAGCAATAACTGCTTTGAGTCACTCCCTGAAGCCAGCAGAGCAGGGGCTGGAATGTCCCTGGGCAATGTTTCAGCACACACACCTACACTCACTCCTTGCTCCAGGTTTTCCCTCCTCAGCAGAACAGGGAACAATTCACCATATG